ACCTTCTAGAACATTAATAATGATATTAAACAAAACGGGCCCGAGGACAGATCCTTGGGGCACTACTCCGCTTGAAACCGGCTGCCAACTAGACATGGAGCCATTGATCACTACCCGTTGAGCCCGACGATCCAGCCAGCTTTCTATCCACCTTACAGTCCATTCATCCATCCCATACTTCTTTAACTTGGTGGCAAGAATACTGTGGGAGAGCGTATCAAAAGCTTTGCTAAAGTCAAGGAATAACACATCCACTGCTTTCCCCTCATCCACAGAGCTAGTTATCTCATAATAGAAGGCAATTAGGTTAGTCAGGCACGACTTCCCCTTGGTGAATCCATGCTGACTGTTCCTGATCACTTTCCTCTCCTCTAAGTGTTTCATAATTGATTCCTTGAGGACCTGCTCCATGATTTTTCCAGGGACTGAGGTCAGGCTGACTGGCCTGTAGTTCCCCGGATCCTCCTTCTTCCCTTTTTTAAAGATGGGCACTACATTAGCCTTTTTCCAGTCATCCGGGACCTCCCCCGATCGCCATGAGTTTTCAAAAATAATGGCTAATGGCTCTGCAATCTCATCCGCCAACTCCTTTAGCACCCTCGGATGCAACGCATCCGGCCCCATGGACTTGTGCACGTCCAGTTTTTCTAAATAGTCCCGAACCACTTCTTTCTCCACAGAAGGCTGGTCACCTTCTCCCCATAAGGTGCTGCCCAGTGCAGCAGTCTGGGAGCTGACCTAGTTCGTGAAGACAGAGGCAAAAAAATCATTGAGTATATTAGCTTTTTCCACATCCTCGGTCACTAGGTTGCCTCCCTCATTCAGTAAGGGGCCCACACTTTCCTTGACTTTCTTCTTGTTGCTAACATACCTGAAGAAACCCTTCTTGTTACTCTTAACATCTCTTGCTAGTTGCAACTCCAAGTGTGATTTGGCCTTCCTGATTTCACTCCTGCATGCCTGAGCAATATTTTTATACTTTATACCACCTGATGGGGTGGTATAAAGATTTTATGGGCATGGATTGAGATGGCTGCATAGTTCGCAAGTGATTAAACATGGAGTAACTGATTTTCAGACTCAGACCAGTTCAGGTTTAAAGTCCACTAGTACAGAATGAAAGCTAGAAACAGGAGACTTGCACTATTGCAATGAGGAGAGTCTCTTCTTTCCAAAAGGATACACAACCTTTGTTCCTTGCTGTCCAAGGATTCGTTATCAGACCATATTATACATAAGACATTTTTTAAAGAGGTTACTGAAATGGATGTTACAAGTTTCCTTTCCCTCAGAGTTCTGTTTACTTGGACTCTCCATTTCAAAGATTTTCTAAAACAACACCCTTAGGTTTCCCCAATTTTCTGGCTCTAGGCAGCAAGTACATTTTACTGGCATACATCATACACTGTTTGAATGCCTTGTTGTAAGAGTCAGCCAGAGCACAGAATCAACCCCTCGACCCCAAGCACCAACTAAATAACCTGCCTATGCAATACTGAAGACGCGGGGTGGATGGGGAGCTAAAAGTAGGCAAACATACAGCAAATCTACCTAAAACAACTTAAATTAAAATTGATGGAGATATCCTATCTCCTAGAACTGGAAGTGACCTTGAAAGGTCATTGAGTCCAGCCCCCTGCCTTCAGTAGCAGGACCAAGTACTGATTTTGCCCCAGATCCCTAAGTGGCCCCCTCAAGGACTGAACTCACAACGCTAGGTTTAGCAGGCCAATGCTCAAACCACTGAGCTATCCCTCCCCGCTTCAAAAACAACTTTGAACCAGACAACTGGAATGGCTGCTAAAAAGCAAAGGGCACTTCACATACAGTCCTGAAGCCTGCAGCTAACCAGTTTCAGTGCTGAACAATCCAATCCATGAAGGGGGCACTTGCACAACCCAGAAAGGCACGGCTCTTCTAGATGGGCCTGAGCCAAGCAGCAGCACATGCAGATTCCGTAAGTGGGGATATGCTGTGGCACTTCTCAAAGATAAACCTTTATATACCACACCATCATGTACTCTCTAGCTATCTGTGTATATTCACAGCTGTTTGCACTATTGTAGCCATGCTGGTCCCAGTACAGTAGAGAGACAAGGTGGGTGAGGTAATATCTTTTATTGGACCAATTTCAGTTGCTGACAGAGACAAGCTTTGAAGCTACACAGAGCTGAAGAAGGGTTATTACCTCACCACTTTGTCTCTGGATATATAGCTGTCCATCTTTACATGTCTCTATATTTTCATCCACATTTACAGAATCAAATTCTATATTATTTTATAAATATTAGGGGGATATTTTATTTTCTCCCTTCCCTTCTTTTGTCTACGTGAAGTTCTTAGGTATAGAAACAACCACCCAGATTCAACGTGTAATTCAGAGCAGCTTGCTTCTAGGGTCTACAGGGTACAATGAACTACCAGTGTACAAATATACCCAGTCATGCTCCTAGGCCACTTATGAATTATCTTGAACACAGGGAAATCCTCCAGCACCTTCACATACTGGGTCTAAGTCCACTTTGTACCAGAAGAATGCCAGACAACATGCTAGAGAATTGGCCCAAAGAGTCTCTTGCATAAAATGCTTAAGGGTCAGTCTAACTGCAGATGTGTGTTTCTGAAAGTTTGCTACTAGGATTGCATAAACTGGTGAAGATGATGATTTCTACAATATTTAAAATCATAATCTGACCTTTCATGATCATATAATCATAGATTCCATGATTATGAATCATAGGATCATAGAATATCAGGGTTGGAAGGGACCTCAGGAGGTCATCTAGTCCAACCCCCTGCTCAAAGCAGGACCAATCCCCAACTAAATAATAATAATAATAATAATAATAATTTTACATGTTGCAGACTCCTATTTTACAATGATATATACTTCATGTGGAGATCAGCAATGCCAATGCCTTTAAAGAGCAGAGCAGCAGTGGGCTGAAAACTTCAGAGTTGCATTTATTTTTTATACTTAATTCATTTCCAGCAGATGTAAAATTAAACAATTAATTTGAGCTACATGAGAAGATTCATAAATAACAAGATAAACATCCTGGATGGGTTTGTGATTAATAAAGAGGAGACTGGGGCATTACATATGGTGTCTAATCTGCTGTTGATTAGCTATCTTCCATCTACCCTCCCAAGCTCAGTATACCAAAAATAAGGACACAGGATCACTTCAGAGAGCGCACACAAACTGCACCTGTAATTTTGCCATTGGCTTCAGACGGAGGCTGCCAGTTTACAATTATTGTCCTAGGTTTTCCCTCTTTGCTCACCACAGTCACATCTTTTGGTGGAGACGTAGGAACTGCAAAAAAAATTCCAAACATTCATTAGAAGCATGTAAGTGATCTCACTGAATGCATGTAAATGATCTCATAACCATCCTTTTAAACTTGCTTTGCCACAGAAGTATGGATGCCCAGCAATAGAAACCCAGTATGTTTAATTGCAAGGTAAATCTACCATTCTAGGGCAGCAGTTTTAATGATTTACTCCATTAAAATGGCCAATGCCATATGGTGCATAATATTTCCTTTCCTTAAGGAGCTATCTATTTCTACAGTCCAACAGATGCTGTGGATCATGATTGGATAAACAATGTGTGTCTTCAATTATTGTCTTTTTTTTGTTAAACAGACAATATATTTGTAAAAGCAAAGCTACTAGTTAAGAGTACTGACTGGTAGTCCACAATAGTTTAACATTCCTGAAATCCCATCAACTTGTAAAGACACCATTCCATGTTTTGTTTTTATGTAAAAAAATAAAACATAAAAGATAAAATTTCTCTCTATACAAAAATGTTTGCTCTGGGGCTCAGATCTTGCAATGGCAATTTTCTACCATGAACACATTTGAAACACCAAGGTAAACTCCTGAAGGTTTTTTGTAACCTCTGAGAGACCCTTCACTTTGACTACAAGTTTCTGGATGGCTTGCAAGGAAGTCTGCATCTACAGAGGTGTTATCTCTCTTGCTCTCTTTTAACCGAGGTTTATTTGAACTCTGGAAACAGATATGATGAACACATGGCCCTTTTTTTCTTTTTAGTAGCTTGAGGCAGAAGTCTTCTTCCCACCATCCCTCCTGCACAAAAATGAGTAAACGATACAGGCCTTTTACCCCACCCAGTAAAAGGCTTAAATGTGTGAATCAGAATCTTATTGTGAACTGAAATACCCAGATGGGGCTCAGATTAATGGCAATGAAATGCATAGAGCTGATGTCTCCAAAGGTGTAATTAAATAACCAGCTATGCCTTGGAACTATATAACTATAAAAAACAGACTTCTAATTATGTAATTTTTAGCAAACTACATCTGCCACGGAAACTGAATTCAGTAAAAGTACTAGTTTGTGTTGTAATAGTGCTTTTCCTGTTCAAAGTGCTTTATGTATGTTACGTACTGGTGATTAATCCTCCTGTCATCCCCTGTGTTAGGTTACTAAGTATTATTATCCCCACTATAGAGATGGGGGAAGTGAGGCTCAAAGGTTAGTAACTATTGCCCCAATTCAACAAACGACCAAAGGTGTTCAAGTGCTCTACAGAACAGGGATGGACTTAAGCTAAGCACGAATCAACCTCTTAGACAAGGCTAGGATAAGAGAACCAGGAACACTGTCAAGACTAGAACTCAGGAGGTTTCTGATTTCCAGGCCTGTGCTTGAACTACAACAAGAAGTTACTCATCTTGTGCAGTAACAATGGCACTTCAAGATGTGTCCCCCTGTGGTTGCTCCTCTATAGGTGTGCTTGTGTCCCTGCGTTGCTGATCAGAGAACTTCAGTAGCAGTGTTCATTGGGCCTGCACATGCACTGTCTCTACTCATGCTGCACCACAAGGCTAGCCAGTGTGTGTGGGCTAACGCCTCTCAGTTCCTTCTCTACAACAGAGTCATAGACAAGAACTCTGAAGTAGAGGGGAGGAGGATGGGTTGTGGAGCACCCATAGGGGGACACATCTCGAAGAACCAAAGTTATTGTACAAGGTGAGTAACTTCTTTTCCGAGTAGTGTCCCTAAGGATGCTCCATGGTAGGTGACTCACAAGCAGTAGCCCTTCTGGAAGGCCAGGACTTCGGAGTCGGGTCAGTTACAGATGACAGCACTGCGGAACTGAAGATGGCATTGGAGATGGAGTCCCAGTGATCGCATAGTGTTCTGCAAAAGTGTGAACTGACTCCCATGTCGCTGCTCTACAGATCTCTGAGCTAGGGACATTCTTGAAGAAGACAATAGATGAGGAGATCGACCCTATTGAATGTGTATGAATAGAGTCTGGAGGGATAATATTGCGAACTTGATAACACTATCTGATGCAATTTGAGACCCACTTGGAGAGCCTTTGGGCATACTTTTGCAGAACACTATGCGATCATAGTGGGACTCCACATCCAATGCCATCTTCGGCTCCACAGTGCTGCCTTCTGTAACTGAGCACTAGGATCTTTCCACAATGGAGAGCAAAAATTTAGGGAACTTCCTGAAGGACTTTGTCCTGTCCAGATAGAAGGCCAGGGTTCTCCTGACATCTAGAGCATGTAATATAGCCTCCCTGTTGTCCTGGTGAGGCTTGAGGTAGAAGATTGGAAGGTTAATCAATTGAGGCATGTGAAACGGGGAGGTTGCCTTAGGGATGAATTTTGGATGGGGCCTGAGTGTAACCTTGTCTGGAAAAAATACCATGTAGCGGGCACGTGTCACCAGAGCCGCTATCTCTCCTGTTCTCCTGGCAAGGTAATTGCTGTGTGAAAGGCCGTTTTCATTGATAGGTATGGCAGGGCCGAAAACCAGTCTCCCTTTTCCAAAGTTGGAATGATCCTTCATAAGGTGATCATCTTGAATTTTTGAGCCTTGTAGATGTTGAGGTACTGTTTCTATGGCTCATAACTATAGGAGACGATCTACCTCTTGTAGTAAACTCTTGTGAAAAGGATCCGTGAAGAGGGACCGAGAAGGGTGCTGTTGAAGGGGTAGGGAGGTAAAATGCATGAAGTACCCGGTGCATGAACCACCTCTAGGACCCATTGGTCCGACGTTATGCATTCCTGGGTACTGTGGAACGCTGCCAATCAGTGGCCAAATTGGCATGGTCGGCTGTGTCAGTCAGGGGGAGTGGTCTAATGGCGCCTTGACCTGCTCGTCAAAAGTGGTGCTTTGATGTAAAGGGCTGGGACGAAGATTGTGGACCAGATGGTTTGTGGTTAGGGAATTTCCTTTTCTTCCTTTGCAGCTCGTAGTGGTGTTGAGGTTGGTACTGAGACGTGTGTGTTCTACACTGGGATGGGGGACTAAATCATCTCTTTTGTTCCATGTATAGATACCCAGTGATCGGAGGGTAGCTCTGGAGTCCTTCAGGGTGTGAAGGGAGGCATCAGTCTTCTTGGCGAAGAGCTTCATGCCTTCAAAAGGAAGGTCCCTCAACAGTGGACTGTGCCTCTTTCGGGAAGCCTGACAAATGGAGTCATGACACTCTTTGCATCACCACATCTGTGGAGATGGACCCAGCTGCCATGTCAGCCACGTTGAGGGCAGACTGAAGCAATGTCTTTGCCATTAATTGGCCCTCCTGGATAATGGCCTTAAATTTGGCCACAATGTGCTTCTGGCATCTTTTCAATAAAGTCATTCAGTTTTGAGTAATTTATGTAATCATAATTTGCCATGAGGGCCTGGTAGTTGGCGATACGGAATTGTACAGTGGCTGAAAAATACACTTTTTTACCGAAAAGGTCAAGGCGCTTCCAGTCCCTGTCGTAGGGAGTAGCTCGACAGTGTGATCGGTCGTGGAAGTTGACGGCATCCACCACGATGGAGTTGGGTGGTATGTGGGAGAACAGGAATTCAGATTCCTTAGCGGGAACATAGTATTTTTTTGTCCACTTACTTGCAGGTTGGTCTTTGCTGGGTCTAAAATGGCTTAATTAATCAGGAGGGTGATCCCTGAGGAGGAGGCAGAGTGGAGGATGTCAAGGAGTTGACGGTGGGTGTCCATTACTTCCTCCAATGGTATCTAGAGAATGACTGCCACTCTCTTTGCCAGCTCCTGGGAGAGACAAAAGTTGTGTGCCAAAGATGGTGGAAGAGGCATGATAGCTTCATCTGGAGAATACGAGTATACGATCCTTGGTGTCACTTCCCCCTCTATACCAGCTTGCTGTTCCTCTATGACTTGAGGCGGTTCTGAAGCTCTGGATGCTGCGGCCAAGGGGGGCCTGTTTCCAGGGTTCTTGGGCAAGGCTTGAAGACTGAGAGGCATGCTAGCGGTGCGCCACCCAAGGGTCCCAATATAGCCATTGGGATGGTGGTGGCATAGAGCCTAGCGATGGCACCCATGGGTGGCCATACCAGGATGGTGCTGGTGGGGCCATCTGTGTGTAATATCCTTGGTCTCTGTTGGTAGTAAGCACCATATGGAGCTTGGGAGGAGTACTGCAACACTACCTCCTCTGGCTCACTGTCTGAACCCTCACTAGAGGGCAGAGGGGCATGGCACAGCAACAGGGATACTTCCCGTACTCCGTGGAGGCTTGGTGCAAAGGTCTTGATACCAAGAGATGGTGACTCCGGTGCATCCGGCACGTGGAGGTCTCTGGAATGGTGGGATTCTGCCGGTACTGATTGTCCCGGCATTGGTGGTGGTGCCAGGGAGGACGGGGATCTTGTCTAGACTAGTTGCTCCAGTGCTGGGCGAGCCATCGTTGTTGGTGCCAATGTGGATTCGAGTACCAGGAGCATCTTTTTAAAAGACTGCTTACCCCGGTCCTTCAGGGCTGATGACTCAGTGCCCATGCCCATCGGGTCTGTAGGCCTGTCAGAAGTTCCAGTTGCTGTCGGTCTCTGTGATCCATAGGTGCTGGACTGAGATAGTCTCGGTGCTGGTGATGTCGAAGATACCGAGGGAGATGGTGAATGATTATGGCTATCTTGGGGCTCACTGTGGGGACTTCCCACTCTCTTCTTAGATGATTTATGAGAGGGATCTGCAGCCTGTTTCCTTGACCCACAGCCCTTAGATGTAGAATGCTGTGGGGAAGGTTCATGTCTATCAGGCGACTGGGGTTGGAGAGCGGCCTCCATGAAGATGATCTTCTGGCAGAGCTCTGTCTTTGCGGGATCTTGGCTGGAGTTGATGGCAAAGACCACACTTCTGTTGTGTATGGCCTTCCCCGAGGCAGTGAATGCACTGAGAGTGCTTGTCTGCAATCGGGATGGCCTCTTTAAAAGTGAGGCACTTTCTGAAGTTGATGAACCAGGCATACCCCATTGGGTGGGAAGGATCCCCAACACGGGAGAAAAAACAGGAAAGAAATTAATGTATTTTTTATTTTATTTTCAAGGGTAAAATAAGAAAGGAGAAGATGACTACAACTAGAGCTATAAGTAGTAGACCAACTAACTATAGGTATGTAAATTAAGTGATAGTCTTATTGGACTGCTAATGACTTAATCTCTTGCTGGGGTGGTTGAGAAGGAACTGAGGGGGGTTAGCCAACGGGAGCTGGAGAGACAGCACACAAAGAGAGACAGTGCATGTGCGGGCCTAACGGACACTTCTAGCAAAGTTCTCCGATCACCAGCACAGGGATGCAAGCACTCCTACACTGCAGCACCTATAGGGACACTACTTGAAGAAGAACAAACCTTTCTTAAGCAGTAGTTGAGGAAAAAGTCCTATGCAGCATTGCCAACCCCAACTGTTCAAAAATCATCAGTTAGGCACCTAAAATCAGGAGACTGGATTAAATCATGAACCTTTTTTAAAAAAAAAAGATATATTAGGAGTTCTTTTTTACTTGTTTTCTGGTTCTTGAGCCTTTTGGGCACACTAAGGTCATGTTTTCAAGTTTTTCTCCACAAACACAAGGACTAGAAAGTTACTTTATGTTTTAAATGAAAGCTGAGATTTTCATGTATTCATATAACGTCACTGATTAAATCTCAGGAAAAGCTTCCTAACTGTACGAACAGTATGACAATGGAACAGACTGGCAAGGAAAATCGTGGAATCTCCTTCACTGTAGGTTTTAAAAAAGAGTCTGGAGAACCATCTGTCTTGGATGAGCCTTGTGGTCCCTTCTGATCCTATGGTTCTATGATTCTAAGAAAGCTAAATTTAAGCTAAAGTGAAAATAGCTTTTCACTTGGGGGGGATAGCTCAGTGGTTTGCGCATTGGCCTGCTAAATTCAGGGTTGTGAGTTCAATCCTTGAGGGGGCCACTTAGGGATCTGGGGCAAAATCAGTACTTGGTCCTGCTAGTGAAGGCAGGGGGCTGGACTCAATGACCTTTCAAGGTCCCTTCCAGTTCTAGGAGATGGGATATCTCCATTAATTTAATTTTTTAATTTAAATTTAATTTAGCTGGAAGCTAACATAGAGATAGTGAATGCTCCCTGCTCTTTGACCAATCTTGCAGGTGAAAAATAAGATACCGGGGGACAGGTCTGGGGCAGAGGGGTTCTGCAACCTACAGATGCTCATTAGGCATGAGCTTCTACCAGCAGCTGTAACGCTATCAACAGTTTTGTAGTTTGTAAGCACAGTTTACAGCTCCTATAGTTCTGATAGCTGCCTAGGCAATTCACGAGATGACAAATTTAGGGCTGATTTTGATGACTAAATTTCTATGCACCAAAGTTCTCAGAATAGTTTGGCTCATCTCATTTTTGTTCTATAATTAATGAATTTTAGCAAACTGTCATTATTAATTACAAAGTTTTTCTCAGTAGCTGCTATTAAGATGTGATTTCTCAGATATTTAAAACATATGTCTCTCTCTCTTCTTTCCCATCCATTAATTGCAAATCATTTTATCCATTTATTTTCTGTAATTTGATCACAATTTTCTCTTTTATGTAATCTCCCCTTCATTGACTTTCAAAGAATATTAATATCAGGAATGCCCCCACTCTGTTCCCTCCCTCCCCCAAATCCCACATCAGCAACAGCAGAGGACTGCCATTTTAAGTCTATGCAAAGAACCAGCATTGGGGTAGGACTGACTTTATTCATCTCATTGAAATGGTTAACAGTTCCAGAAAGACACAAGTGAATACCTAATTCAAAGGTAGTTCCATGAGCTGTCATACTCCAAGTACTTGATCTTCGACCTTTAGTCACCATCACAGAGAACTCATACAAGGTGTTTGGTTTTAAACTGGTCACTAAATAGCTCAAGGTGGTTGTGTTTGCAGTCTGAAAGAAACACAAAGTATAAGGAACTTCTGAAGCGAAAAACACCATTTACAAGGTCTCAAATACACTTGGCTAAGGTAAGTGCCTAAAGCATTATTATAACGTTACCAACACTTGAAAACCATAGCCATTAATTCTCTCAATATTCTTTTTTGCTCTACCATGCAAATTCATTAATCATTTACTCTATCTGAAATGAGAAGTTCCTTTTGTAATCAGCAAGAGCATTCAATACTAGTCGATCATAAATGTAAATGCATAAGGTCTAGGACATACTTGTTATGCAGCAAGACTTTTAGCTGTCTACTGGTGGTGTTTAATTTACAGTGCTCCACTAAATGAACTAACTATGGGAAAGAATGATAAAGGGAAGCTAAAATTAAAAATCCATCTTGCAATTTACGTATTTTTCAAAAATTATGTCAGAATTCTAAGATGAAATCTAATGAGTTCAAAAACTAGCTAAAAAATGTTGGTTCTCTGAAACTCCAGGAAAAAAATGGTTTTATTTTCTATACCTGTATGCTGGTTTGCAGAAAGGAGGACCATCTGTGGAAAGACTTTCTTAAATCACACATGGCATCCAGCACAGGTAATCAGAAATATGACTCATTTAGTTACCATTTCTGCCTTTGAGCTAAACTGTCCAGTATGTACTGTATGTGGCTTGAGTATAAATAGTATACCTGATGCATACATAAATAATATAACTGCTTCCTTATTTGGATCTACCTCTAATCTAAAAGCAGAATGAAGTGACTGGCAACTTCAAAACTGGACAATGTGAATATATAGCCATAAATAATTGCTACCTTCAGAGAATTTTACTTACAGGTAATGCTTCTTTTTCTAAAGGTAAAGATTATCTATAAAGTCACATTCCTTGAAAATAATGAGAGAATACCGTCTGAATGAAAAGGACAGAAGTGTAAACGCAATAAAACTCTTATTTCTGATGTAAAGTATACAATGAAACCTTTTTAAAGTATCCCAGTAAAAGATCAGGAAAATTTCTATTTGCCAAATGAAATGAAGTCACATAGAGTGCTCTGAATGTTCAAAGAAATGAAAAGCTATTTTTGGATTTGACTAGTTCGGTTTTATTAGGATCAGTATTCATAGAGCCCTACCAAATTCATGGCCATGAAAAATGTGTCACAGACTGTGAAATCTAGTCTCCACCTGTGAAATCTGGTCTTTTGTGTGCTTTTACCTATACTGTACAGATTTCACAGTTGAGACCAGCGTTTCTCAAATTGAGGGTCCTGACCCAGAAGAGGGTTGGGGGGGGGGCAAGATTATTTTAGGCCAGTCGTGGCATTGCCGCCCTTACTTCTGCACTGCTTTCAGAGCTGGGTGGCTGGATAGTGGCGGCTGCTGACTGAGGGCCCAGCTCTGCAGGCAGCAGTGTAGAAGTAAGGGTGGCAATAGCATACTATGCCATCCTTATTTCTGCACTGATGCTGGCAGTGGCTCTGCCTTCAGAGCTGGGTTCCCGGCCAGCAGCTGCCGCTTTCCAGTTGCCCAGCTCTGAAGGCAGGGCCGCCTCAGCAGCAGCGCAGAAGTAAGGGTGGCAGTACCGCAACCCCCCTCACAATAACCTCACTACCTCCCCCCCCCGACAAATTCTTTTTGGGGCAGGACCCCTACCATTGCAACATCATGAAATTTCAGATTTAAATAGCTGAAATCATGAAATTTATGGTTTTTAAAATCCTATGTCTGTGAAATTGACCAAAATGGACCATGAATTTGATAGGGCCCTAAGTATGAAGGAGAGAAAGAATAAAGACAGGGGAAATGACTGTCAGAAATTTCAATTTTAATCAGTCTTACCAAGAAATATTAGATGCATAGGCAAAGCAACCTACTTTTAAGAAAATTTAATCTTGGGTGGAGCAGTTATTGCAACCTAGAGGTTAATAGTTCCTTGTAATTGTTTACTGACTGCCATTTTAAAAAAAGGCAAAGTACTCCATTTGTAGTACTTGAGCTAACATGAAAACACATATTCAAAAGTGGTTTTCATCAGCTTTACACAGGAAGTACCACAGAGGATCATGACCCATCTAGCCCAATATCCAACCTCTGACAGTAGCAAGTACAAGAAGCTTCAGAGGAACAAGTCACTCTGGTCTGGACAATTAGGTAATAATCTGTGCATAAGGCAAGTTACACCCTGAAATAGGAGAGTTAATAAACTTTATACTTTTTCCCCCTTGCCAGAGTAAACATGGATATTCTTCTTTATCCATATGAAAGTTCAATTCTTTTTTGAATCCTATTAAGTTCTTGGCCTCAGTCACACCTGGCAGGTATGAGTTTTACAGGTTAATTGTGCATTGTGTAAAGAAGAATTTTCTTCTGTCTGTTTTAAATTTGGTGCCCGCCTTTCAGTTTCATTGAATGCCCTTTCACACAATACAAGGCCAAGGAGACAAACTGGAGTGGCCTGATATACGGTACTTTCAATTTCATTAATTGTTTTGTTCCATTTACTATTTTAAGAAAGTGGCAGTGATATCCCATGATACTAAATACTGTTTAACTAGTACTATAATTATATATGATAAATTTTATCCTGCAAAAATCTATTTTCCTTCTATAGGACTCTAAAACAGCTAAACTCCAGAAACGAGTGGTTTACTTATTTGGAACCCACCATCTGATGAATGCACTTTGTGTGTAGGACAACTGCATTCAAGCAACAAAGACAATTTGAAAAATGTTCTCTGACATGTCAAACCAATGCATCCTCTTGCATGAAAAGCGAGTTCCTGGATTTGTAATCTCAGAACTTCTATTCGAGGTTTACAACCTCATCTTGTTCTAAATATTTTCTCCAATTTCAACGTACGAGGGGGAATCAAAAGCAGCAAGTTATGAATGGACTCTGTCAACATGCAGTTAGCTGAAGACACTGATGGGTGAAACACTGGCTTGAACATCTGCAGCACTGGAGGCATCAAGATTGAGGTAATTGCAAATCCGTAATGTGAGTCACTAAATGTACTCAGAAATAGGAACAGATCTGGTGATGGATCTACTGGAGACCTAAAACCTATTCTCCATAACAGAAGGAAAAAGCTTTATATATATCATCTGCATGCTGGGGTCATCTGAGACATAGGCACTGCCACCTAACTGATGGATGTCCAAGCTCCTTCCTGAAAAGGGATCAGCAGTATGGGATCTACACAACTTCCTGGAATCCCATCTTGAGATGTTTCAGGGAAGAATCTATCATTGACTTAGAGTTGAACACCCGAGATATGCTGAGACAACAAAATTACACTTAATGACCTTCCATAGGCCTACACTATTGTGGAACTTGGCATAATAAGAAGATTCTTCTCAAACTGCAGATTCGGAAGGCAGCTTCTGATTCCTAATGGGATGAACTGCATAGGGTTACTTTGATAAGGGACAAGGCATGTTCTTCCTTAGAAGCTTGTCAGAATTCTGAACCTCCTCTGCCAGAAACTGTGAGATGAAAGTGCCATGCAAACACTGCATCCTGCTCGTTCCAAGTCAGAGAGCTTCAATACTTGGTTGGTCAGTGGCAATTAGTCTGACAGAGAACCTATGAGTAACTCCACTGAGACTGATAGCCCCAGTATGTTCACTTAATAGTAAGGTCACTGGAAATGGGCTTGGCAACAATGCACATTTATCAGTTCATACTAATTAAGAGTACCAAGGATCTGGCTGAAATCCACCAGCATAACGGACAGGACTGCTCAAGAGATTTTGCCCTTCAGTGTGCTGAAATTCAGCAGTCGACTGCTCCATAAAACAGTAAAGAGTATGTGGCTGAAGCAGAGAAAAAACAAACAGTGCACAGAATGTTAATGCTCTGGGATGGATGATGATGGCAACACAAATGGGTCTGATGCTTATGCGTTCTGAGGAAAACACTTTGCATTGAGGAATTTTGAACAATTTTATTTCATTATTATGTATTATGTTTGGTCCACTATTTATGAATCCACTCTCCTGAGTCACCTGGTCACCAGCACAGAGCATTATGGGAGCAATTCATATAGTACTGTATCTTCAATAGGGTCTTAACTCATAAAGCTACAAGCACTGTATAAATGGCTCCCGAGATGCCCAGTCCACGTGACTCAGGAATGTGGATTCATAAATAATACTTGCCTTTAGAGGCGTAACACACAAACCATGTATCTTTTCATACCAATATAACATTTGTGGTTTGTAATAAGATTGCTCTGTAAAGGAGCATAAAAGGAGCTCCATTAACTGGCAAATGTAATAACCATTTCTTTTGAGGCTCATTTCTAACTTGAAATGTACAGTCAGCATTTTTCAGGCCTTCAAGTCACTGTTAGTCCAAAGAAATCTTGAAATCAACTGCCTCTGGTATGGTATATACAGAAACGTCTGAGAAGCAGGAAATGCCATAATGGAATAGTTATAAATTTTTTATACAATTACCATCATAAAAATAGTTTTATCATCAACTTAGTATGACCCGAAAGGCTTGTCTTTTTCCTTTTACATGAAGTAGGGTAAATATCTTTCAGTTTGACTCACCCCATTAATTCAGATTCCCATCACTACTGTCTGAAGAGAAGCCATTAGTTACATACACAATATTACTGTGCTACTGGCCCCATAAAGGTGAGCCCATGTCCTTCACGCAAGCAGATTATGGCAAGGCCAAATGAAGAATACAAACTCTATATTTTTTAGCATCCAAACTCCAGCAGAGGAAATTAATCCTGCAAGTGTCTTCCTCCCACTACCTTCACCCCAAAAAGGAGATTATTTTTCTATCCACTCACATATATCACTCCATATTATACAGAACTATTGACAGAAAAATAGACCCCAAAATGTCCAGTTAGATCAAGTTTATAAAAACCTTTAAAGTGATTACTAAACTGAGGGATATTGTTGTAAATGGGAGTCCATTCATGCCAAATTCAATTGGACCCAAATCTAAACTGCTTGCTCATCAAATACCTCAGCGCTCTAATCACAATTAACACAAAACTGTGTTGATGTTGTTCAGCCTCCAGTACCTTGTACTTCGTGTTTGCAGGAATGTTTGTTTTCCAGCGGACTGTGTAGTAGCGAGCATCTGTGATCTTCTGATTTTTCGGCAGAGAGTTGTCTGCCCAAGTGATCCTTATGGTGTCATGGCTCAGAATGGAAGCCTGAACTCCCACCGGTGGCATCATGGGGGAGGGATCTGGCACTGGAGTGTATGGAGCATTAATAACAAATAAATCAACTTCGGAAGTGTCTAGAGGATTGATGGGTAAAAAGTTGTGTATTATAATTAAAAAGGGAGAATGTGGCATTTTAATGTAAACAAAAACAAAAAAGGAAATGCAGGGTAATACAATGGAATGAAAGATGAGGAATGGAGAAAAAGAGAGAAAAGCCAGAGTTAATAGGGAACATAAGATTAGCAAAGTAATTATTCCAACCCGATCGCTTCTTAATGCAAAGGTTATGAATAAAAATATCCTGTAAAGTTCATCACGTAACCATGCTAATGTCTATGAAGCACCATATAAAGTACTTTCAGGATAAGATATTAGTTCAAACCTTTGGCTTTATTTTCCTCAAAAACATCCACTTATTTCTTCTCCAGAAAACAATGACATGAGAAGAACAAGATGGACTTCTTAGGGATAAGTAATTAGTGTTTCATACAAGATTACTGGAGAAGTATCATCTTTCAGAGCATTTTTGGGGAAAAAAATCCATGTTATATGAAATATTCAGTGACTCAGGGAATTCAAACTCCAAGGTACTCTAGAAAACCTAGCAGAATTCCTGGTCTTCAAAAGAAAGATAAAATTCACAACAATGTTCACATCTGATGAATTATGTCTTAAAACAAGGCCAAAATGCTACACAATGTTAGCAATGCCACGAAGCAGAACGAGACATAGGATAACAGCAACTCAGAGGCTAATGGATTACTCTGCTTAAAGCCCAAGATAATATCAGGTTTATTATCGGTTTATTACAAGATGAAAAACATTATCCTAATGCCTCATTTAATGTAGTTACTGCAAAACAAGACCTAAACACATCATACAGAGAATGCATGCATTATAATCAGTGTCTCAGCTTGAAAGATAAATGCTATCCCTTTTCTGAGACATCCATAAAAGGCAAAAATTAGTGCCAGATTTTTCAAATTGTACATGTATCATCTGCACTACACAGTTAAAGACACATTCTGAAATCAGAACATTTATAAGTTTTTGTAGGGTAAATTCTAGAATTTAAAACCAAAACCAAACATAGAGTTTTGGGTAGTTTAATAGCTGGCTTAACAATTGAAGTTAACCACAAAGGCAATAATGTGAACACAGAGAATATCTGATATCATAGGAGAATAAAACTCTATTGCATTATGCATTTTCTCATGTCTTTGATTGTTTCCTGGAACTCAAGGCTATAATTTTCACCTATGAGTAAACAATAAATTAAAAGAAGGCAAACACTGTCCTTTACCTGTATGAGGCCTGGTCACTGCACTCTCATAGAGTGGGATTCCTTCACCAACATTGTTAAATGCTTTCAGAGTTATGACATAGTGGGAACTTGGATCTGATGGAAGAAAAATTCACATGTAGTTGTAATGCAATTTCTCATTGCAAATTGTTAGTTACTTCTATTTTCTGCCTCTAGTTTCTCTATACATCACTCACTGTTTTACTTGTTAACAGAGAAATGCATCCAATAAGCAGCAAAACTAGAACTGCGAGTTTTCTCAAAGACTTCTTCTTCCAGCATGCTTCGTGTATCAGAAAGTACAAGAGTTCTCGCATACTGCAGGATGTCTGTATTCATACCAAGTCTTTAACTGGAGCAAGATTGAGATAACATTGAGGAAAAATACCCCAACAGTTTCTATAATATTACCATATTATCCTAGGCCCTGTTCTACTATCCTAAGCCCCAATATAATTCCGTATTGTCACACATTTCACTTCAAAGCACTTTCCCTAGATGCCACAAAACAGCCTGTAATGGTTTGTTTTCCAAATCTTTAGACCTTTTCTTATTTGGAGAGCTCATTTTTTAGTGACAGAACAGTGGGGTGGTGCTCATCACAAGGGTTTCTTATAATACTCGAAGGAAAATCTAATACTTGCAAGGTATGAACAAATCAATCAGAACAATGCTTCCTCTCAATGAACTTGGGATGCTGGCTTTTTTCTCTTTTTAACAGGAAACAGAATTTATGATAAATTTCAGTTAAGTTTCGAACCTCAATGTAGAATCTTCATGTAGCAGGGAAGTCACTCTGCTCTGGTTTAGAAGGGGTTAAAAGCAGCCAAGAGCGACTGGTTGGGTAGTCAGCCACACCTTGATAAGAGGGCAGGCTGAGGGAGTGAAAGAGAGACTGGCTCCAGCTGAGGAGCAGAGAGAGCCAGGCTGCCTGGGACAACAAGCGGGGTATCTGAGGCAGAGCAGGGCTGGGGAAAGACAGACAGAGCTGAGGAGCTCTGGCCTGGTGAGTCCCCAGGCTGAGGCCTTGCTAAAGGCCAGGGGAGGTACTAGGGCTGCAGGGAGGCAGCTGGGGCTAGAAAGGCAGCAGATCCAAACCCCCTTGCCGATGATGAGTGGTCACTTCAGACTGCAGTTTGCCCCGAGAGAAGGAGCTAGATGAGGACTGGCCGTGGGTCACTGAGGCGAGGTGGGTTTAGGGGATTGGGGTTCCCCAGGGAGGGGAGACCCAGAGTGTGGGGACACTGCTGTGGGGCAGCACCCCAAGGTAAGGGGTCCGGGAGGGATGCGGGGCCTGAAGTGCTATAAGTGGTGAAGATCAGGAGGAAGGAGGCACCAGTAGGAAGACACCGGCCAGCAGGAAGCACTCCGAGGCTGGAACAGAGTTAATTCCCGGATGATCAGCAGGAGGCACTGTGGCGGTGAGTGCCCGTTGTGCTACACTTCATAATGGAAGAATCTTTGAAAAACACAGTTCTGTTTTTTTTTTAAGCTGTTACTTGGAAAATACCAATACAAATCAGAGTTAAAATTTAGAAAACAATGTTAGTGAATGTTCCTTACCCAAGTTCTCAATGGTGTAATAGCGTTGTTTGTAGTCCACTTTGATAGTCTGTGCATGAGGACTGCCAATGCCATACCCTATAGCATATCCTCTTACCACAATGTTCTGGTTTTCAGGAGGAGTCCAGCTCACTACAATACTTGTAACAAGTGGGCGAACATGTAGGGAACTTGGAACTTCTGGAACACGAGTTTCTGTTACAAAAAGAAAAATGCAATTTAAGGGATTTATCATTAACAAAAATTATGAAACCAAGTATTCTTACAAGCTTGTCAACCCAATTTAACTCCTTGGGCTGCCAAAATTAACCTAATTTTATATTCTAATATATACAGAAATTCATACTTCTAATACTTTTCCTAGAGACTCAGGATAGGATTTTTAAACCATCTAGAGGATTTAATTTTATATGGAAGATGATATGGGTCTAAATTCCCTAGACTACTTTGAAAATCTTAACCTTGGTTCTTCCATCAGACCCAAATAGTTACCATTCTCAATCAAATGCCCTCTTACCCTTTCTCTACTATAAAGAAGGAAGAGGTGAGAGAGAAAGAAGTGTAGGAGAAGAAGAAAGCCTATCACCAGGGTGTGAATCTAAGTACTTAAGTCACCACATAATCTTATTATTGTTACCTTCATACACATTTTCCCTTTCTCTGCTCAGTCTTTGTGCTTCCCATTCATTTCACCATGACTATAGTTAGGCCTCAACCTGCAATGTACAACGTGTGGGCAGACTGCTGAACACACACAGCCCCACTGCAGTCAACAAGACACCCCCTAAGCAGAACAGTCTGCCAAAGCACGGGACCTTTAAAGATTGGGGCATTAGACTGGAATTCTTTGGGACATGCACTGTGTTTTATTTGCTTCATAAAACACTAGCCTGCTGTATAAATAATAAGTATATGATCACACTTTCGTTTGCCTCAAGGAACAACTTTTTCCCCACTTTTACAGGGTGAAAACATGTGGAGGATTAAAGTCAGGTACCCAATTACATTATTTCTTTTCAATTGACATTGAATAATTAATAATTGATGTTGGCACCCTGTAATACCACCTGTAATTGGGTATTATTTAGTGGGGAAGGCAACACAATATATAGAACAGAAAGTAAAGGAGCAGTATTTACATCTTCAGTTTTCAGGCCAATTTCTTGACAGGAATTTTATTACATTAGTGACTACTACTTAAATTATATATAAATAAAATGCATGTATCCTGTTGTGCAATTAGAATATAGTAAGCACAACTGAGCAAAATTATGTTTGCTTTGGAAAAAAATCTGCCAAATTTTGTAGTTACCCTGGTCCATGAATTTTGAGGTCTTTAAAGTCAGAAACATGCTTATGGTCCTTACCATCTAGATCACTCTCAAAAGTTTCTGCTGATATCCAATCAGTAGCTGGTCCTGTACCATTGCTTGTAAAGGCAGCCACACGGAAACTGTATTCTGTACCTCGCTCAAGACCTAATATAAAAACAATATACAAGTTACTAAAATAGGAGCTCTAATGGTGATCAAAGAATCACAATTTCTAATTAAAACATCAAGAATCTCACTATCAGACTGAAAGTAAAAACTTGTTAATGCAAAACTAAATGAGTGGATGCACACACTATAGCTGCTGTTGTGACATCGTTTGGGTTGAGCCTGAAACAGAGCCAGCAAGTTAAGTGCATTATGTTTTGGCCTTTCACCCTCGAGACTGCTGTTGAGCATAACCTGAGGTCAGGAATGGAAATCAGCACTACTTGCAGTGAGGCTCCAGTAAGTGAAACTGACACAAATTATAGTGTAACAGCCAGACTGTGACAGCAGACACCCAGGACTACAGCACTCTGGAGACCTTCCCTGTAGGTCACTGGCAGAACAGCATGAATGTAGTTTGCAACATATATAGCCAGCTGATAAATGAAAGACTACTTTTCATGCTAGTAGCCCTTTGTCTGCACAACAGAAACCTCCACATTTCTATAACTAACCTTCTGCATTTAGTGCCAGCTATTGAGTGATCAAAGTATGTAGAAAGTGAATTATTCCTCTTAGAAAAACATCTACAAGCTATAACCAAAGCAATGGGAAGATAAATGTATATATTAACTGTTACAGTGTATCAAACATACATATGAATAAGAGCATCCACCATTACCCCCAAAACCTACCACTGTGCCATTTAAAGTATTTTAAATAAAGAACATAAACCTTTACTGACATGGTTTAAAAAACACTTCCTCTGTGGGCAATTATTCCATACTTGTCCATTATGGGATTTCTTGCACCTTCCTTTGAAACATCTGGTACAGATCAGTGTCACAGACAAGATACTGAATTAGATGGACCACTGGTGTAATCCAATGTGGCAATTCCTATGTAGCGGGAGCTAAGAATTCAAGATGATATCCAAAGAGCCTTAAAAAACCCAGGATTCAGAGGATAATGTAACATCTTGGAGGAAACGATCCAAGGAAAAAACAAAAAACAAAACTTAAAAATCCCCGAGCGTAAAATCTTTGTGGTACAACTAAAGTAATATTAGTTTCACAGATCAACTAATTTTAAATGAACACTAGAATTAAAAATCAGTTCAGCATCACCTTCATTATTCACATTTTAGTTTATTATAATAAATGTTTAGCATTTATTTCTCGTATTTGTGTATTTGCACTATTCAGAGCACTCAATTTCAGTTTTGTTTATAAATAATTTCTAATCAGTTCCACTTTACTATTTTCATACAACAGAATGCTGTAAAGTCTGGATTGTGAAGGCTATTTTTAAAGGAATACCATTCCTCTGAAAATTTTCCATTGACCTGTCAACTGATGTTAAGTTTACAAAATTCAGATTGTTCTGACAGAGCCCATTTAAATGTACTAATGATATGGGTTGCATGCTGAATTTCCCTAATGACAAGGGTATGATGGGACGGAAACAAAACAAGTGTTTCTAAGTGTACTTTGGTTTGACTTTACATGCCCTAAATAGAAGAGGTCCTGCTCCATTCTAGAACGCCACAACACCATTGAAACTCACTGTGCATGGAGCTGGCAGATCTGGGGACAAATCATGCAATTGCCTTTTTTAAGTGTGTGTTCATCTAGTTAGGCTATTATTTTTAGAGCCCTGCATGGATACAAAATTTGTATCCACATCTGATCTGCAAACATGGTCCACAAATTTGCAGGGCTCTAATTATTTTATCTCTTATAGCAAAAACAGTGGCTGGCTAGTTGTGACTTCAGAGATTAAAAAATAAACAAAACATTTAGAATCACTTATGTGTTGAGTGTCCTGGTTACTTTTGTAATATGATGTATTCAGTACAATTCTACTATCAACAATAAAAAACTTACATTAGCACTTTTCAACCAAGGATCTCAAAATCCTTTACAAAGGTTCCACTTTGCAGATAAGGAAACTGAGGCACGGAGGACTTAAGGGACTTGTCCAGTACACACAGCAATCCAATGTCAGAATTAGGAATAACTTACCACAATTAGCTCATGTAAAGCACATTTTCAGGTCACCTGTAAAGGCTAGGAGTGTATAGAATCTTGTTCCCAAACCTGCCATTCCCAGAAACAATCAGGACCTCCTCAGCTCCTGATAACAGGAGCTTGGGGATAACTGTGACTTTTTTCAGTTTTGACTAAATGATGTAAAATAGCTTACCTTCGATTAGCTGGAAAAGTTGTGTCCCACCAATGCTCTCGGATACCTCACTCTTACGAGATGCTTTACGGTAGCGAATTTTGTAGCCAGTGATTTGACCATTGTGTGTTCCTGCAGGAGGGGTTTGCCAATGTATCATGATGCTCTGTGAAAGGTAAAATGCATTATAAATCACTGCCTCCCATCTAGCCGATCAAACTGCTTATTCCTAATGCTCCATGTAGTACTATCTTGCTTTAAGTATTGGTGCATACCAAAAAAAAAAAAACAAACATAAAACCCCAAACAGTAAAACGGGAGGTTTAGGAAAGAATTTTTAACTAATCTACAAAAATACTCAAATTGTAAAATCTTTGTGCCTAAAATAAAAATGAATGTGCACATGGTTCTCTATTTTAAACTACCCAGGAGGCTATCCCATAATAATGTTTATATGCACATATGTATACACACACATATATGAAATTATTATAAATCAGACATACAGGGCAGTAGTTAATCACTGGGAACACATTCTAGTTCTGTTACTTCGGGCTTTTGCATTTGATCTAAACTCTTCTGTTCTATAGTACGAAGCCTCTATGCTTAGCCCTGGTGCATTGCCACTGCCTAACTCCTATTTAGTTACGTGTACTCCTAACCCACAATGGAGCTTGTGCTGCTCCAAACACAGGGTCATAATTCCTCTAGTTTGTTAGAACATACACAAATGAATGGAAGACAGCAGGCATTGTCTCCGAGAGTAAGACCTGAGCTGTACCAAAACTGGTAAAGTTATCCAAGAGGTTGGAAACTAAGGACATGTAGGTAGGAGTAATCAGGTGATGCACATGGAAAGAAAAAGGCTGTCCTGAACCTGAGTACTTGGGGAGATAGTACAGGACTGATCTGGACTAAGCTGATCAGGCCCTGTGATCTGGAGAGGGGGAAGTCTATCTGGAAGAGGGGGACATGTGTCAAAGTCTGCTTGAGGGATGGGGGGATTGGATGGAAGAGTCTAAGGGGGCTTGAAATTTTGGTCTACCTGGGCTCCATCTACCACTCACCCACCTGTCAAAAATGGCAAATTAACAGCATCTTACCTTGGAATTCCGCACTTCCAGCGACAGATTCTGGGGTGCAGCACTGGGGACTAGAAATGTTTTAAAAATTACTCCTCCAAAACTCTGTAAGTAATATAATTCCTCCCTGATATTGGTCCATTGTATATGAGATCTTGGGATCTGACTTTTAAGAGTCTTAGACCATATTTTATATACTCATTAAATAGTTCTACCATGAATACTTTATGATACACAGCAATCGCTCAGCTAAGTAGGTCTTGTGGGGTGGGGTGGGGTGTGCATGTGTGCGTACGTGTGTGCGCGCGCGGGGGGGAGGGATAGCTCAGTGGTTTGAGCATTGGCCTGCTAAACTCAGGGTTCTGAATTCAATCCTTGAGGGGGCAGTTTAGGGATCTGGGGCAAAAATCTGTCTGGGAATTGGTTCTGCTTTGAGCAGGGAGTTGGACTAGACGACCTCCTGAGACCCCTTCCAACCCTGATAGTCTATATCTAGTGGTACAGGTTCTATTTTTTTAACCCGAGTGCTTATTATTAAGCACCTGAATAAAAGTGGCCTGATATTCGAAGTTTCTGAGCATCTACATCTCTCACTGACAACACTAGAAGAGATGATTGCTCAGCATCTTTTAAAATCAAGACATTTACTTAAGTTCCTAATTTTGGGCACCCAAATTTGAAATTTTGGCCCTATTCATTATATCATGACATCCTGCCAAAGGAAAACTGGCTACAAAGTAGCTCAGATCTGTTTAGTGGTGGAAAATGATAAATTCTTTGTTAAACTGTTTAGTTAAACAGTATCAGGGGATAGCCGTGTTAGTCTGTATCCACAAAAACAACAAGGAGTCCGGTGGCACCTTAAAGACTGACAGATTTATTTGGGCATAAGCTTTCGTGGGTAAAACACCCACTTCTTCAGATGCATCTACCCATGAAAGCTTATGCCCAAATAAATCTGTTAGACTTTAAGGTGCTACTGGACTCCTTGTTGTTTTAGTTAAACAGTAGCAACTTTGGTATCATGACATTTACAATTAGGCTGTGAGAAAATGAAGCAAAGGATATATTAGAGAGCCTTAGACCCTATTATGTCCCCTCTGCACTGATTCAGTGGTGCAAAACTCACATAAAGTTATCCCAAATGGATAGCTGAGTGTTCTCCTGGCATAGAAGTGAAGGGAGCCAGCATAGTGTAAGGGGCTAGGGTGAGGCTGCAGCATAATAAGGCTATATAGATTGGGATCAGAGCATGTTGAACTCTTGTGATACTTAGCTGGCAGAATAATTCCTAGGGAACCATTCCAGACAGCATCAATTGAGAGCCCTCCTACGGCTACCGCAATTTACGCTGGAGACTGACTAGACTCAGCATGGGGGAGGCAGAAGGGCAGGCTTCTCCCTGAATGTGAGCTCAGCATAGGTGAGGATTAAGTCCTGCACTCTTTCACAAGGATGAAAACAGATTAAGAAGAAAACAAAATCTGAAAATTTTCTGCAAGTGGAGCCTGCTTGCAAATAGGGGGGGGGGGGACCTGAAAAAGGGAAGAAGTATCTGAAGGGCAATAAAGAATGAATAATTACAAGCATATTTTAGAGCTAAGTATTACAGGTAAAAGCCAGTGTTAATAGTGGCCACTCAACAAGTTTTTTTAATATAGCCAAATTTACTTCCCTTTCCAATTGGCTTGCCTGAAATACTGTAACAATCGCCTGCTTTTAGCAATAAATACTACTGATTTAACAATATCCACATGGGAACCAGATCAAAAATACACTGTGTTTTTCCCCATCAGCTAGCAAACATAGCAGGTGAAATATTAAAGGGAAAAAAGGAGAAGAAAAAATGGGAAAATGTAAGAACAAATATGAAACATCAAAGAAATCATTAATTTATTAAAGCTGTGCTGTATGTGCCACTACAAAGAAGCATCTTTTAAATTTAAGACTAGGACTTAATCATTCCAATGCAAGTATTTATGCTGGGGTTGATGAAAACTCTCTTAACGTAAAAAATCTGCTTACATACAGTAAATTACAGAAACTTAAAAATAAAAAAAAATTGGAGTTACCGGCTTCAGTAGTATTCTCTCTGTGTTTTTGATCTAGATATGTTGTACAAGTGTTAGCCCATGATGTGACTATTAGGGAAATAATTGCTTGATTATTAGAAAAGCAGATGCTTTTGCAGGTATAGTAATCTCCTTCCACCCACTTCCAACAATCTCAAAGAGTCTATTCAGCATGCATGAGCATATGCCACAACCACATCATGATACAGGGCAATGTGTCACAAGAAACTCTTGCAGCTCTATTCGGCTAAAATCCATTTAATAGGAAGAGATCAACCAATGATTTACACAAAAAAACTGGAATAAAGCAACTCACCATCTGACAGAGTCTGCACAACAACATCTTGGGTAGAGACTCCAGGACCATGTTTATTGTAGGCTACCACTCGGAAGCTGTACTCGGTATATTTCTTTAATCCACTAATGGTGTAGGAGTGACCTCCAACATCAACATCCTGTTCACGAACAAAGATACACGCGACTCAATCCCTAAAGCAATGCTGACATGCTAACAGGCCTGGCTCCAGGGAAGCGCTGCAACCTGGTGTGCTGGGTCACAGTGCTGCTCAGGTTTGGCCCCTGCGCCATCATGATGGAGGGGCAGCTGGGCCAAACCTAACCAGTGCTGTGACCCTGCTCACTGGGCTGCAACACCTGGAGTGGCGAGCTGTGCTCAGCCCTGTGGGTGGGATAGGAGCCACCACTGCAAGGTGAGTCACACACACACGCACGCAAAAATTAACAGACAAATGGGAAATACTGACTATCTATGGCTCTTTTACCCACTGCAATCCAACTCATAATCAGCTACAGCAGCAGCATTGTTGCTTTTTCCATTAAAGTCACAATCTATTGAGTCAACAAAGCTTAGTCACTTAAGAGGATCCCACTCACTTCCTCCAAAATACTAGCCACAGAACTCAAGCAATGGAAATATTTGCAAAGATCAGGGATCACATTAAAGCCACCAATTAAATTAGCTGTTTCCATCTCTCGTAAAAGAGGAACGAGTCTGTCTACAAACTTAGCAAGCCCACTTGACATAGTCTGAGTTAATATTGCTAAACTTAAGATCCTCACTGTGTTTCCAATACTCCTTAGCAAGCTCAATGACTTGGCTCTTAAGTACTCCCAGGACGCATTCTCTTGTGATGGTGCATGAGCCTTTTGGTGCCCTCTGGAGAGGACTGCATCCTTAGAGAAGGGCTCTGTGGGACAAACAGCCTGGAGATACATTTTTGTATTAATTCCCAACAAGGACTCAGTCAGTTCAGGAATTAGATATATGAGATACATGTAAAGCTTTGTGGAGGGAATGGAGCCAGAGACTTCTGTTAAGTTATTGTTATTGTGCTTAAACCAGAACTGCTGAAATAAATCCAAAACCCAGAGAGGCTTTTTGTATTTAGGTCTCCTTTAAACTTTCTGAGTACCCACTCAGATCCAGTCTTGCCCTTCCATAAATATTTGTTCATACATATTCGCTAATTTGGGGCATTGTCCATGTAAAGGCTGGTGCAGCTTACCTAAAATCAGTTTTAAAATGAGCAATTTGGTTAAAACCATGCAACCTCCAGTATGAAAACACATATTGATATGAATTGGATTATGTCGATTCATCTTGCCTTGGTAAAAGCTAAACCAGCACAAGTCAATTGTAAACTGATAAGAAAATCCATAGGAGTTTACATCAGTTTAACTAATTTGTTTTTAAACTAATTTTAGTTTAACTCGTGCAACTTTTATGTGTAGATCAGGCCTAAACAAGTCATGTATCAGTTTGTTGCTATATGAGATGAGTTAGAACATAGAATACTGCCTTAATTCCGTTATGTTCATACTTCATGAACCCCATAATACTATAAAACTCACAGTTCCTCTTTTCAGAGGGACATTCAGTTTCTATAGCTCCACAATTTAACCCTTAATATGCTGGCATTATCCAAACTGCCAGTCAAATGATTGGCAGGATGTTTTGAGAAACTCAGAGGAAAAGTGTTATAACTAGAAAGTATTGTTACTGGGCATATGGCTGTATGATCAGAGTTAAACTGGCATTATATTCTTTCCTGAGAGATATAGGTATCATACCTGTTCATTATCTGTCCCCTTTTCCATGTAATAGAGCTTGTAGTTCTGGATTTCACCATTGCCCGACAACGGTGTGTCCCATGTGACAGTGATTGAAATGGGTGAATTAGCATATGCTCGAATATTCGGTGCTGGACCAGGAAGTTGAACTGGAACATAAACATGAAACTAGTGTAAACTCATCAAACGTAACTATTAAATTTGATATTGCTAAACGTACTGAGACAAACCCAAAAAGCAATGAACACTGAAATCCTCCTTAAAACAGGTATTCTGGGTAACTGAACAAATCCATTAATATTACTGTACATTTTGCAGGCACAAGTTGTGTCCGCAATGGGAGTCCACCCTTCTGCAAACTTATCCCTACATATTGTGCATAGACTTTTAGGCACATTCTACTAACAGTGAATCAAACTCCACTCCATTACACCAGTTTTATATGGATGTCACTTCCCTGACATCAAAGGAGCCACATAAGCATAAAACTGGTGTAAAGGAGAGATAATATGTTCCAGTAATTTTCCACCCTCTTCCACACTACCTCAGTTTCAGAATACCTGAACTCCATTTCACTAATTGGCAGATTGAGAGATATGGTATTGTCTCAAATAATAGAAAATCTCATTTTTTAATCTCGTTATTTGCAAACGCTGCAGACCACAGAGCAACTTCTGATTTCAAAAGCAGTTCTACTGCAAACGTACATTATATGCTGGAACTTTTTATACTGCATTTCAGAGAGATATTCTGAATGTACCTCCTCTCCATTCATGCCAAAACAGAACTTGCTTTGAAGAACACAGAAATATCAGCCCAGCTGGTGTAACAGATGGAGCAAAATCAAAGAACTTCTGACACTAATACTTTCTTCCCTCTCTTCCTCCAAAACAAACAAAAATTATTCCATTCTTCGTGTCACTGTGAGATAGATTCTGCAAAGGCACTTACATTTAAAACAAATGCTTTAACATTAGAAAACCACTTCCATACACTTTAAAAGGGATAAAAAATACATGCTTAAGTAATTATAATATGTTGATCTAGCTGTCTTTGTGTAGTCACATTCAAAGTATTTGCACTTTCTATGCTCAGCTGAGGCAATTATGTGTGGAATACAGGAACAAGTGGTACTGAACAGAGATAAAACATTAACAGAACTAAAAGTAATCATATTTATAGAAACTAAGGGTTGATGGGATCAGAAAGATCTTCACAGAGTCATAAGAGATAAAAATTAATGGCCTGATTTTCAGAGCTGTTGGAATAACCCCATCTCCCACTGGGGTCAATGACAGCTGCAAGTGCTCAAGACTTTTGAAAAAGAGGCAATAAAACTACATTTTAAACAGCATGACTAAAATAGGCAACATTCTGAGCAGCTGTCTTTTCTCTCATGGACTGTGTATAGTTACTGATGTTTTAATCCACCTAGCCATTATTGATAGGCACAGCTCATTAACTACCAGACCCTCAAAAGCTCAACACAACTGGAAATATCACAAGTACCCCAGAAATTTCTGGTTTGGACAGAAGCAAGTTGTCACTCTTATCACCTTCCAGAATAAAGGTTACTCTTCAGGGATCAGAGGGGTAGCCATGTTGGTCTGAATCTGTAAAAAGCAACAGAGGGTCCTGTGGCACCTTTAAGACTAACAGAAGTATTGGGAGCATAAGCTTTCGTGGGTAAGAACCCCACTTCTTCAGATGCAAGATGCATAGCATAAGCTTTCGTGGGTAAGAACCCCACTTCTTCAGATGCAAGATGCATCTGAAGAAGTGGGGTTCTTACCCACGAAAGCTTATGCTCCCAATACTTCTGTTAGTCTTAAAGGTGCCACAGGACCCTCTGTTACTCTTCAGGGAGAAACTCTTGGCTTTCAGAACTGAAAAATGCTCTTTATTTTCTTTATGATTGGCAATCATATCCCATTCTTAAAAAATACAGATTTAGGTAGTGAAACAGACAAGACAGTTACCCATCTTTTCGTAACCATTGTTCTTCAAGATGTGTTGTTTATGTCCATTCTATTCTAGGTTTGGCACGCCCATGTGTGCAGTCATCGGAGATTTTTGACTTACTGGTATCCGGAGGGCCGGCTGTGGTACCCCCATGGAGTGTCACGCTCATGCGTCGATATATCAGGTGCTGCCGGCCCTATGCCCTCTCAGTTCCTTCTTACTGACAACTCCAAGAGGGGCAGGAGGGTGGGTAATGGAATGGACATGAGCAACACATCTTGAAGGTAACCGTTTTTTCTTCTTCGAGTGCTTGCTCATGTTGATTCCATTCTAGATGACTCACAAGCAGTGTCCATGGAGGTGGGCTTGGAGTTCACAGTCTTGCAGCTTGCAGCACTGCTCTGCCAAAGCCAGCCTCTCAAGCTTGCTGGGTAAGCGCATAATGAGATGCAAACGTATGGACAGACGACCAGTTAGTGGCCCTACAGATCTCTTGGATTGGTACCTGTGCCAGGAAGGCCGCTGATGATGCTTGTGCCCTAGTTGACTGTGCCAGCACGATCACTGGCAGAGGCACCTTCGCCAGCTCATAGCAATGGCGGATGCAGGCCATGATCCAAGACGAAACCCTCTGAGTAGAAACTGGGCAATGTTTCATCCTGTCTGCCACCACAACGAACAACTGCGTTGACTTACAGAATGGCTTCATTCTATCTACGTGGATGGCCAACACCCTCCTGATGTCCAGGGTGTGTAGCTTGTGCTCCTTATCTGACGTATGAGGTTTTGGAAAGAAGACGGGTAAGTATATGTCCTGGCCAGTATGAAACTGGGAAACGACTTTGGTCAGAAATGCTGGGTGCAGTCACAACTGGAGCTTATCCTTGTAGAAGACCATATAGGGTGGTTCTGAAGTAAGCGCCCTGATCTTGGACAGGGCCAATGTTATTGCGACCACAAATGAAATCTTCCAGGAGAGAAGCAGGAGAGAGCAGGAAGCCAGAGGCTCAAAGAGCTCCATGAGCTTTGACAGCATCAGATTCAGGTCCCAGGGTGGGACGGGATCCCGGACTTGTGGGTAGAGATGCTCCAGACCTTTAAAAATAAAAAGTTTCCTACCTTTTTTGTAACTGTTCTTCGAGATGTGTTGCTCATGTCCATTCCATTCTAGGTGCATGCGCGCCCACGTGCACAATTGTCAGAGACTTTTGCCTTAGTAGTATCTGTAGGGTTGGCTGTGGCGCCCTCTGAAGTGCCATGCTCATGCATCGGTATATCAGGTGCTGCCAGCCCTATGCCCTCTCAGTTCCTTCTTGCCGGCAACTCCAACGAGGGGCAGGTAATGGAATGGACATGAGCAACACATCTCAAAGAACAACAGTTATGAAAAGGTAGGTAACCATTTTTTCTTCTTCGAGTGCTTGCTCACGTCAATTCCATTCTAGATGACTCACAAGTAGTATTCCTGGAGGTAGGCTTGGAGTTCACAGACGTGCGGCTTGTAATACAGCTCTACCGAAGCCGGTGTTGTCTCGGGCTTGCTGGGTAAGCGCATAGTGAGACATGAACGTGTGAACGGACAACCAAGTGGCGGCCCTGAGATATCTGGAATTGGCACATGAGCCAATCAAGTGGGTGGTTACAATCGATGGTGGAGGCACTTTTGCCTGATCATAGCAAAATCAAATACAGGTGGTAATCCAAGATGAAATTCTCTGGGTGGACACAGGATGACCTTTCATCCTATCCGCCACTGCGATGAACTGTGTTGACTTGTGAAATGGTTTGGTCTTTTTGATGTAGAAGGCTTAGCGTTCTCCTGACATCGAGGGAGTGCAACCTATGTTCCTCAGACTTATGAGGCTTTGGGAGGAAGACTGGCAAAAATATGTCCTGGCTCATTTGAAATTGCGAAACCACCTTAGACAGGAAAGCCGGATGCAGCTGCAGCTGGATCTTCAGACAGAAGTTATCGCCACCAGGAATATCACCGTCCAGAAAAGCAGAAGAAGGGAACAGGATGTCAAGGGCTCAAAGGGAGCTCTCAAGAGCCGCTCGAGTACCAGATTCAGGTCCCATGGAGGGATTGGGTCCCAGACCTGGGGGTAGAGTCCCTCCAGACCTTTCAGGAACCGGACAGTCGTGTTATGAACGAAGACCAACCTGCCCTGGAACGGAGGGTGAAAGGCTGATATGGCAGCCAAGTGGACCTTAATTGATGAAAGGGACAAGCCCTGGAGCTTGAGATGCATAAGGTAGTCCAGGATCAACTGCAGCGAGGCCTGCTCAGGCCTAACCTGTTGGGCCGAGGTCCAGCATGTGAATAATTTCCATTTGGCCAGATAGGTTGCTCTAGTGGAGGGCTTTCTACTACCCAGTAGGACCTGCTGGACGTGGGCCGAGTACTCTGCACTTCAGCAGTCAACCATGCAATAACCAAGCTGTTAAGTGCAGTGCTGCTAGATTTGGGTGCAGGAGCCCGCCGTGATACTGGGATAGGAGATCTGGCCAGAGGGGCAGCTGCAGCGGGGTCATCACTCACAGGTCCATCAGCATGCCGAACCAGTGTTGGCGAGGCCAAGCCGGTGCTATCACAATAACTTTGGCTTTGTCCTGCTTGATCTTCATGAGGACTCTGTGAAGCAATGGCACTGGTGGGAAAGCGTACATCAGAGCTCCAGACCACAGAAGTAAGAAGGCGTCTAACAGGGAGCCCCTGTCGATCCCTCGAAATGAGCAGAACAGGTGGCATTTCCTGTTCTGACGAATCGCGAGATCCCCATTTTCGGAAGATCCCGCTGCCCACCTCAGGGTGGAGTGACCGCTCGTGGCGAGATGAGAAGGCTCTGCTGAGGCGATTTGCTAATGCATTCCTGGTCCTGGGGAGGTGTACTGCCACGAAATGAATGGCATGCTGCACACAGAAGTCCCAGAGCCGGAGGGCTTCCTGGCAAAGGGCTGACGACCTTGTACTGCCTTCCTTGTTGATATAAAATGTGGTGGTGTTGTCCATCGTGGTGGTGTTCGTCAGGACTTGAACCACCTTGTAAGTGGGACCGAAAAGCCTGACAGGCCAAGCGAACCACTCTGAGCTCCCTGATTCGGGCATCACTCTCAAGCGCACCTTCAAAATGAGCATTTCTGGCCCCCGGGATGCTGCACCAGGCCAGGCTACGTGGGTGAGCGG